CATACGTGCGTTCTCGGCAAGGCTTAGCATGTGCGAACACACAGAATGCGAAGGAAAGATGTCAGCTGAAGTGATCATTGCAGGGGCAGCTTTCAGCGTTAGTCATAATTGATAAACTTTTATTAAAAAAGAAAAATAGACGATGGTCGATTAAAAAATAATTCCAACCTTCTGTAGTCCATGGTGATAGAAGATCGCGGACATTAAAAAAAAATCGCATGTCATGTAGATGTATTATTCTGGATTATTAATTTTTTCTTACATATAAAAAATATCCATGACTACAAGAAAAACTAAAATTAACATTGTTTTCCATTCCAAAACAAAATAAGAGTGTTTAAAAAGACTAATTTAGAGAAAATAGCTTATAAACGATTGAAAAAAACACGCAAAACGAAAAGAAACTAAAGATAATAAATCGAACGGTGTGAAAACGGTAGTGCCCAGTCAGCAGTCGATTTCCTTCGAGCAATAATATTAGGGTTTTAAAAGGCCACGTGAAGATCATGCACTTTTACAACTCCATCTGTTCGATAAACAGAGTGTAATGAACAGAATGACAATTTGCAATATCAAATCAAAGTGCGATTATTTTTATTAATTATTTAATATTTATCGGTAAGTACACCATTGCATTGATGTATCATTGTTTCTTGCATAATAATAAAAGTCTTTATTTGCATTTTTTTATGTATATTACATATAGATATATATATACGTCAATGATAACTTTTGGCCTCGCGCCAGATTTAGGCAACAAGTAATGGGAGAATATGAAAACCACATCCTAGCCTCAAACCTGTCATGTCAGTGTTCAAATTTGTATTTATGGTTGCATCATTTACAACAAGCAAATGCTCGACACATTTTAAAGCAAGTAAATATTTGGAGTTATAGTTTAAACTGTTTTCGAGTAAAAGAAAGAAAAAGTGGTATGAATCAGTTTATTCAGAAACAATTTTTTGGAATTAAAACAGCCACATAGAAGCTGAAGAAATTAAGATAATCAAAGAGAAAAGAAAACAACTTAAAACTAGGCAAGCTTACTTCGTAGTAAGTGCAATTATATTCTATGAAGATTTAATACTAATATAGAACACCAAAGTAGATTATTCATATTTCTTATGAAGTTAGAGATTGCAATTATTAACAAAGTTGACAACGTATGGATAAAGTTAAATATATATCTTTTAGTCAAAAGAGGTGTCTGCACAATTTGTTACAGTGTCTTTGCAGGTATATTTGTACAATGCAGCTGCTGCTGCATTCACTATCCAAATGTAAATGATTTGTCTGGTGTATGGTGCGGTCTTAAAATTAGGTATTTTTACTATATTTCAATTAGATAAATATTTTTACACATATTTGTAAATTCTCGTGCTTTGCCAGTTTTAGACGTTGGAATTTTAATTATTAGCGTATCGTTTTTGTCTTGAATGCCGTCATTATTTTTCAATTTATCCATTCCACATGCTCCTACAACTTCTAATAAAAAATAAACCTAAAACATAATGATTTATAGACAATGTGATTGACCTTGTTTGAGATCACCTTTAACATCAGGTACATTTAATCACGGGCTTCTGTTAAAAATTTTGGTAAGTCTTCTCTTGTAAATATATTTGATTTCTTGGCAATGTAACCTATATTTTTTGCTTGAAAACTTGGTGTACTTAGATATATCTATCCTGTTTTTTATTAACAGAGTTGACTTTAACTACGACTATGCAGCCCAAAGTGTTAAAGATTTCACAGAATTTGCTTTTTCAGCGAAATACTCGTATGCAATGAGGTGTTCTCCATATATTTTGCATGGTTGTTTCTGCGCAAAAAAAAAATTCATACCGCTTTTCATAAACTGTGCCTGAGTTTTTAGGTAATAAATTTGATATATTATCTGCCAGTTTTTGCAAGTTCGGTCGAATGCATGTAAACTGCTTGTTATTATTGCTATCCATCTCTATTTTGCAATTGCTGCAGATCTTTCTGCAAGCAAAAATATTAAAAGTGCCGAAAAATAAGAGGTATGCTTCATACTTTCATTTAAAATGGGCATCTAAGCTAATAATCTGTTCTGTAATAATAATAAAAGCTTATTATAGGTTATGTAGATACAAGAAAATTGTTCAAATTCTTCCATTCCGCATACTCCTACAACTTCGAATAAAAAATATACCTAAAACATTATGTTTTATAGACAATGTGATTGACCTTCTTTGAGATTACCTTTGACATTAGGTACATTAATCACGGGCCTCTGTTAAAAATTTTCGTAAGTTTTCTCTTGTAAATATATTTGATTTCTGGGAAACATAACCTATATTTTTTGCTTGAGAACTTGGTGTACTTAGATTATATCTATGCTGTTTTATATTAACAGAGTTGATTTTAACAACGACTATGTAGCCCAAAATGTTGATTTCACAGAATTTTCTTTTTCAGCGAAATACTCGTATGCAAAATGAGATATTCTCCATATAACGTTTTCCATGGTTGTTTCTGCACCGAACAAAAACTTATTACAGGTTATGTGGATACACATTGTTCGCTGCCATAGAATGTCGCTGCACTTCAAGAAATCCGCTGTTGCCATGCAAGGTTGCGACGTTGCGAGATTACGCGCAAATTTAGTTAATAAATTATATTTATAAAATTAATAAACCGGATGTGTTTCTAATAACTAATAAAAAGGGTTAACAAAGAGTATAGAATTACTGCTAAACCGAAAAACAATTTATAACCTTGTAAAAGGTAATTGTGGAGGTAGATAATACTAATATGACAACACCGCATTTAATTTCTGTGTCGATTTTTGAACATAGAAAAAGCACATTACTGCGCGATTTCGAAAAAAGAAACATTACTATTTTTTAGCAGCTTTTAACCTCTCTTTTTATATTTCTCCAAGAAAGGCGTACATGTCAATTTTAAAATACCAGTTTAAGTTGGAGTAAGAAATTTACTTTTATGGTTGTGTGTACAGGCACTTCTACAATTAGCAGTACAAGTTTTTGTTAATCTCTTAAATTATTTTTCTACTTATGGAGCCAATCTGGATATTTGCTTAAGGGTGTGCTTTAAATTTTAGGAATTAATATCTTGGAACGTCATGCATCGTTTCCATACATTTTTGAGCTTCTGTTTTATTTTCTAATCACTTGGAATTTCATTTCCAAAAACAAAAATTGTACTTGAAATGATAGATATGAAGCTCATTATTCCGAAACATGTAATTATAAGATCAAATGTTACTATGCATGAAATGTATTATTTGATATAAAGTAACTTTTGATATCGCATTCTTTAGATTTTTTTCATGGGTACTTTACAGTTAATAGTATCACCATGAAATTGTTTCTTAGATTTGTTTTTCTTTCTTCCGGTATTTGAATCACAATTTGATAATCTTAAAACAACGACAATTAATTTAACTTTAGCTTGAGTTGTGAACCTGAAAGTTGTTTTGTATGAATTTGTGTGACAAAAGTGTACTAAAGATGAAAATAATTACTTATACTCTTTTATAATCATTAATTACATTTGTAGCAATTTTTGGCCTCTCGTATTTTATATTATTTTATCCAAGAAACAAGCGAAATTTGAAAAACCAGTTTAATATTTTAATGGAGCAGTAATTATGAACCCAAATGTTGCTATGGATAAAAACTATTATTTGACTTAAATTAACTTTTGGAATCACAGTCTTTGGATTTTTTTCGTAGATACTCCATAGTAAACAACATAATTATAAATCTGTCCCTTTGATTTATTAATTTCTCAATCCGCCGATATTTGAAAGACGATTTGGTATTCTTAAAACAAGGGTTACTAATTTAATGTTTCCTTGGACTGTGAGCCTGAAAGTTGTTTTGTATGAATCCATATGGGGTCAAAGTGTACTAAAGATGAAAAGAATGACTTCGTTTATAGCAACTTTTGGCCTCTCGTGTTTAATATTTCTCCAAGAATGTTTTTAATTTTGTAAGATATTGGGCCAATAAAACATACACAGACAACATTATTTGCAATTCTTGCAACCACCTATGGATTCATAAAATATCAACTTTTGCATCTTTAATTGAAATATTGTTCAATTCTAATCTAAACCATGAAAACTATAATAAAGAACTTCAGTCCATAAAACAAATTGCAATAAATAATGACTTTAAAGTAAAATTAATCCACAATCTAATTGACAAAATAAGATACAAAATTAAAAAAAAAACAATGTTGCTCGTTGTTCAAAACGGACCATGATACTAAGGAAGACATAGGTAGATATTATTTTCTGGATTTTATTGAAACATTATCTTACAAAATTAAAAACATACTAAATAGAGTGAATAAAAATGTTAATATTTCATTTAGAAAAATTAATTCAACCAGAAATCAGTTACTGAACAACAAAGATAAAATTACTTAACTAGATAAAGCCGGAGTCTATCAATTACAATTTGAATGTTGAGACTGTGCCTTAAATTTTACGAATCCATATCGTGAAATAATACACCTCATGAATTTCACTGGCTTGTGTTGAAATTTCGGGTTTCCAATTTTAAATTTATTAATCTAGTACTTCGTTCCAAAAACAAAATTGTGCCCGGAATGATGGGTTAATTACCAGTTGTCACATATACGAAGCGCACGAGTCCGAAAGTTACCTAACATGCAATTATGAGGCTAAGGGCCGGTTGCATAAACGCAAATCAAAAATTTGATTATTGTTAAATCCAGTTAACAATCATCAAGTCACATAATGCGTTGCTCAAACGCCAATCAGTTGATGTTCATCAAATTTTTTGATGACAATCAAATCCATACGTCAAATACAGAAATCACCAATCATCCGTTGCATAAACGCCAATCAAGGACTTGATTAGCATCAAAACGCATTTTGATTAACGATTAGTTAATTATCCGAAAAGCAGTAATTAAAGTTTGACAGCTGGCGGTTTTACAGCAATTCGACTCCTAAAAGCCGAAAATAAATACAAAAAAGGTTCAATTAAATTTTATTCAGGTAATTTTAAATACATGTGAAATATACTTTTTGTTGTAACAGCTGTAAATTGTAGTTTACCTCAAAATGTCCGTGTCCTTAACGTTAACGTCCTCCAGTTCCTCTGACGATTCCGATGTTCCTGTTCCTAGAAGACCTCGAATTTTTCGAGACAGGTCCGATCCTTTCGATAGGTACGACGATATCGACTTTAAGCAAAGGTATCGGTTTTCAAAAAATAGCGTGGTGGAAATTTTAAATCAGATTGGAGACCGGTTAGATCCCTTGACAAACCGTAACAAGGCTCTAAACAGTAGAGAACAACTCCTGATTTGTCTCAGATTCTATGCAACAGGAGCGTTTCAACAATTAATTGGGGACTCTGTTTTGGTACATAAATCAACAATTTCAAGAATAATCTACAAGGTCTCCAAGGAAATACTGCGATTGAAGGGCGACGTGTTGAAAATGCCTACCTTGCAAGAAATACCAACAATACATAGAAAATTCTTCGAAATCCGGGGTTTTCCGTGTGTCATAGGGGCAATAGACGGTACGCATATACCAATCCAATCGCCAGGTGGACACTTGGCTGAAACTTATAGATGCCGAAAAGGTTTTTTTTCGCTCAATGTCCAAGTAGTTTGTGACGCGGATCTTCAAATACGACATATCATAGCTCGCTGGCCAGGATCTGTCCACGATTCCACCATTTTTAATGACTGTCCTTTACCTCCTGAATTAGAACGAGGCATGTATGGCGCTGGATATCTTCTTGGAGACAGTGGCTACGCATGCAAAAGATATCTTTTGACGCCCTTCATTAATCCAAGAAACAGGGCTGAGGAAGCATATAATGCTTCCCACAAAGCGACCAGAAACACAGTTGAAAGGTGTTTTGGAGTTTTGAAACGTCGCTTTCCAGCTTTGTCTATGGGATTGCGACTAAAAATGAAAACTAATATGATGGCAATCGTCGCCTGTGCAATTTTGCATAACCTGGCAATTATTTTTAAAGATGACTGGCCAGAAGATCACCTTGAAATTGAGGAAGACGATGAAGTCATAGGTGGTGACCCCATGGAAGGAAATTTTGCTATGAGAACTCACCTTGTAAATACTATATTTGCAGAAAGAGTTTAACAAAAATGTTTAATCTTATACTATTAAACGAGCAAAGTTTGTATATATATATATAAATATATATCTATATATATAATGGGTTTCTCGAAAACGGCTCTAACGATTTCGATGAAATTTACAGGTTGGGGGTTTTTTGGGTCAAGAAATCGATTCATCATAGTTTTAACTTCTGAAAATTACAGCTTCATACATTTTCAGCAATTTTCAGGCAGTGAATTATATTCGTTGCTAGGTAACATCGGATGACACTACACGAACACGAGATTGTTTTATAAGAGAAGTTTGGGTGACAGTCTGACAGTACGTTTGGCGTACCTTTTTATCTTCAATTGTACGTACCGAAACATACTCCACTGTATAGAGGACGTTAAAATTCACCCTCTGAGGTGACAAAATTTACGGAAAACTAAACAGTGAGCGGATAAAAGGCACACGAAAGTGCGTTGAGTTAAGGTTATGTTGTCAAGCATTCATTTCAGAGGTTCGACGGTCAGGGTCAATATGTGATCGTTTTCCGGGATGGGACCGTATTATTTCAGTTTTTGGGCTCAACTTTTCGCACACTTTCGTAAGTGGCATCTTCGGGAGCAGGGTTGAGATTGAGAAATTAGGAATAACGCAAAAGAGCACGGTAACTCAGTATGTTAATCACACCAGAGGCGAAACCATTCTGGCAGTAAGAAAGTGGTTGTGACCTTTTTCTAGAGTCGAGAGAGAGAACTAGGAAAAAAAGAGAACGACAGAGAGAGAACTTGGGTAACAAATGAGATTTTAATAAAAATGTCAAGCAATAATTCCAGTTTTCCATTCTTTAATCTCTACATGTCACTCATCACTATTTAAAACAAAGACTGCTTATGGAATTTCTTTTTTAATGTGTATTTTTAACTAACGCGTGTACTTCAAAATGCATACTATACGCATATTTATCTGTCCTAATCTGATCTAATACTACCAAACGAGCCGAGTGAAGCTCGGTCAACCAGATATTAATGATTATTATAAAACTAAAAAAAAACTCTTCGATTTCCAATTATTGAATTTGAATTTTCCAATTCGATTTCTACTTTTTTAATCTGCAAATATTTTAATTGTAAGCCTTTTTGAAAGTTTTTGTTTGTGTTTATTTTGCAAATTCACTAAAAATTATTTTCATTTGCATATTTTTTATTTTTTATTACACTGTTTTTCTTGGAAAGGGGGATTTTATTTTTCTCGTTCGGAATGGAGGAGGCAGGGCTATGAGGTTCAGGATTTCCTGGAAAAAAAAAATGCGTTAAAAACAAGTAAAGTTATTGAAAATATATCTCGTTATGAGAGGTCAGATTTATAAGATCATGTATGCATGACGATTTGTCCTAGTATACAAACCGAAGTATTGTGCTGTATCTGTTTTTTTTGACCTTTTTTTTGTAAAAAATCAAATCTTCATCTATTATATTTATTTGTCATTTCCAGCTCACCATCACCCACGTCTGCACTCATACCTTCATCCCTGTTGTCTGTTTTAATAGAAATAAACGCTTCCTTCTAAAAATTAATAACCACATTGTATAAAAATATTGTAGATCCAGCTTGTAACTTAATTTTTTCAGCCCTTTCCTTTTTTAAGTTTTGTGTCGAATTTTGATAGTCTGAACATCCCTAGGCCCCTCAATGATGGTAACATTGAATTCGTATTACATGATCTCTCAGCAACATTCTCTTCTTGTACAGAAACTGCATCTGTTTTCTAATATATGGGCATATCTACAAAAGAGGAAACCGGATAAGAACAGGCAGGCACGAGAGAAAAGATTTTCCGTTGATAAAAGTGAAATTTATGCTTTGATAACGCGGTCTAACCAATTTTACTAGTAACTTATGTGTTTTTAAACGTACTTAAAAACTTACCTCAGAATTATTTGTACTGAGTTTTTTGATGGGCTGTGAAATTTTTCGACCTTTCCATAACTTTGGTACTATCCATCGTGAACAATTTTCAGAGGAACAGTAGCCCAAGAACAACAACAAACTTTAACTTCCACCATTAACGATCACAAATATTTAACATAATCTCAAGATGTGACAAATATTTCGCCACATGCTAGTCCGTTGGCCAGGATCTGTCCATGATGAATTAAAACAGGATATCTTCTTGGAGATAGTGGTTACACCTGCAAGAGATACCTTCTCACATCTTTCGTTAACTCTAGAAATCGAGCTGAGGAAACATCACAAAGTTATCAGAAACACAATTGAAAGGTGCTATTGAGTTTTAAACTGGCGATTTCCAACATTGTCGATAGTAACCAATATGATGATCTGCATTTGATAATGGTGAGTGCGCGGAATTATATCTTACTGGTGCAGTCCCCCAGTTGAAGTAAGGTGTGTTTTACGGCGAGCAGTGGGGACTCTTTGATGTGGTCCATCACCAGTGCGTCGCGTAAGGAGTATTCACAGCTGATAATAATACTACTTTTGCAGTACTATATTACTTCAAATAATAATACTCGGTGTCCTTTTTAATTTTTCAACCACAGTTATCTTGAAATGTTATATTATGTTGATATAGTCCAAAAGGAAGATATATTTGTCGACGCGGCAGCACTGGGTCGAGCGCCTGGATGATGATGAAAATATCATGGCGACCTGGAAAACAAATTTACGATGAAAACTAATCTTGTAAATACGGTATTTTCTGAAAGTTTAATAAAGAAGTTTAATAAGTATTAATTCTAAGAATTTATATTTAAACTAAAATTAAAACTAAAAACACCCTATCTATTGATTAATTACTATTAACAAGTTTTTCTAATTCTAATTCTGCCTTCCTATTTTGTAAATTTTTTAATTTTAAATCCTTCTGAAAAAGTCTTTGCTTCTGACGAATTTCTAAATTGACTAAAAATAATTTTCGTTCGTAAATTTTCTGTTTAATATTTGAACCGCTTCTCTTTGGAACCCGGAATTTTTTTCGGCGGATTGGAATGGAGGAGGAAGGATTTTGGGGTTCGCTGTTGTTAACGTTTCCTGGAAAAAAATCTGTTGTAAAACTAAATGATTTTTTTTAAATCAATCTCAATATCATAAAAGATCATATTAAAAAGATGCATGACCATTTGTTCCAGTATACAAACCAAAATATTGTGCCCCATCATCAAAACTGTTTTCTAACGGCTGGAGTTGATCCGCCAACAACTCTCCCAAAATTGCGTCAGCTCCTGTTGGCAAAATGGGGCTGTAACTTCCACCTCCTGTTTTTTTTGTCTTTTTCTGTAATATTTCGAGTGTCATCTATACTCTAGATATACCTACAATATGGTAACCCATACCTTTTCTATTGTTTCCAGGACCTGTAACGCTTCCGTAATTTCCATTTCTGGTTCACCTGTGTCCTGGGGGGTTCCCTCACCTCTGTTGTCCAGTTTATTTTCCAGGATTGAAATATATGTTTCTTTCTAGAAATTATTAATTGTGTTGTAAATACTAAAATATTGTACATTCCATTTGTATTTTACATTCTTTTCAGCCCGTTCCTTTTTCAAACTTCTCTTGGTATTTTGGTAAAAAGTCTTGAGCGACTGAACATCCCTAGGTCCCTCTGTAGTGACTGCATTAAATTCGGTTTTTATTTCCTCCCAACAATTCAGTTTTTGTTTGACGGAAACGGCGTCGGTCTTCTTGTTTTCTATTATATGGGCATATCTATAATAGATGAAACGGGATAGGACCAGGTACGGGAGAACGGAGTTTTTGTAGCTTTATTAATAAAAGTGGAAGAGGTTTAATAAAGGAATATATGTATAAATGGGATCGGGAAACCTCATTGTTTGAGATCCATGATAAAAATAACTTCAAAGACTTTTCATTGTAAAAAATGAATGCAAGACACTGTTTGCTAACTGTTTAATAATAATCAAACTCATTTGCTATTAACTAACCGCTGTTAACCACTTTTACTAGAAACTTCGGTGTTTTTTAACATACCTACCTAAAAACTTACCTTTGAATTATTTGGGTTAATTCGCTTTTCTCGTGCCCGGTGAAATTTTTCGATCTCTTAGGTGCTTTTGAACTGGAGCTGCTCATCTTGAATGTTTGTAAGAGATAACACACCTCAAAAACACCGACGAAGGCCGCACCAATTCACCACAAAACAACGAATCAAAACGTAAATTTTTAACATAACCTCAAAATATCACGCAAATACCATTTTATGCTGCGTTGCCGGTTGGTGCGCGCTATCAAATAGCGACTTGATGATAATCAGTTAACAAAGGCTTAATTATTGTTTCAGCAACCCAATCAAAGTTGATGATAATTAAATATTTGATGACAATCAGTTGATTGGAGATTTGATTTGCGTTTATGCAACCGGCCCTTAATGTTGCTATGGATGAAAACTATTATTTGAATTAAAGTAACTTTTGGCATCACAGTCTTTAGATCTTTTTTCATAGGTATTTTACACTTAACAACATCATTATGAATTTATTTCTTAGATTTATTTCTCAATCCACCAATATTTGTCTTAACCTCATAGAAAATGTTTCGTCTTATGGAAAAAATCTGAATCTTTACACTTGGGGGTGTGCCTGAATATATAGCACCGAATATTGCCTCACATGAATTTTACTGCCTCGATTTGACCAAATTTTGGGTTTCCGATTTTAGATTTAATCATGTACCTAGTACTTTAAGATATATTAGCACATGAGTCCGAAATTATGAGGCCAAAAGTTTCTATGGATGAAAGCCATTATTTGATTTAAAGTAACTTTTGGCATCACATTCTTTAGATTTTTTTAATAGTTACTTCACAATTAATAACATAATATGATTTTTTCTTTTAGGTTTATTTCTCTTATCTGTTATTAAAATAACTGCTATTAAGTTAATTTTAGCCTGGGTTGTAAGTTTGAAAGTTGTTTTTTACGATTCTGTGAGGCCAAAGTCTACAAAAGATGAAAATAATTTTAGGTTAGATAGTTCAACACTCAGCCAATTATTTATTTTTATTTATACTATTTTCGTGTGGTATAGCAAGAATAATGGTCAAAAATCAAGTATTTTAGGATCAAAAAACGGCACATCATTTTCCAGATAATATTAACACTAATAAGTCTAAAAATCTAACCAAATATTGACTTTTTTAAAGTGTTATAAGTTTACTGACGAGGTGGCTGAGAAAGGGGATGAACCCTGAAACTGGTATCACCAAAATAGTATAAATAAAAATAAATAATTGGTTGATTGCAGAACTACCTAACCCAACTTTATACCCACGCTAATATGGAAACACACATATCAAAATAGTTAGCTCATTTATAGCAACTTTCGAACTCTCGTATTTTATATTTGGCTAAGTAGCAAGTACTTAAAAAATTTAAATTATCACTTTAACTTTGAATAAAAAAAATATTTTTATGAATGCGTCTACAGATACTTCTACCATTCACAGTCTAATTTTGTCTTAACTTCATACAAAATGTTTCGTATTATTGAAAAAATCTGAATCTTTACACTTGGGGGTGTGATTGATTATATAGCACCGAATATTGATTCACATGAATTTTAATGCCTCGATTTGTCCAAATTTTGGGTCTCCGATTTTAGATTTATTCATGTACCTTGTACTTTACTGTATGTTAGCACATGAGTCCGAAAGTTATTCATAATGTAATTATGAGGCCAAAAGTTTCTATGGATGAAAGCCATTATTTGATTTAAAGTAACTTTTGGCATCACAATCATTAGATTTTTTTAATAGTTATTACTTCACAATTAATAACACAATTATGACTTTTTCTTGTAGGTTTATTTCTCTTATTTGTTATTAAAATAACTGCTGTTAAGTTAATTTTAGCTTGGGTTGTAAGTTTGAAAGTTGTTTTCTACGATTCTGTGAGGCCAAAGTCTACAAAAGATGAAAATAATTTTAGGTTAGATAGTTCACCACTCTGCCAATTATTTATTTTTATTTATACTATTTTCGTGTGGTATAGCAAGAATAATGGTCAACAATCAAGTATTTTAGGCTCAAAAAACGGCAGATCAAATTCCTGATAATATTAACACTAATAAGTCTGAAAATTTAACCAAATATTGACTTTTTTAAAGTGTTATAGGTTTACTGACGAGGTGGCTGAGGAAGGGGATGAACCCTGAAACTGGTATCACCAAAATAGTATAAATAAAAATAAATAATTGGTTGATTGCAGAACTACCTAACCCAAATTTATACCCACGCTAATATGGAAACAAACATATCAAAATAATTAGCTCATTTATAGCAACTTTGGACCTGTCGTCCTTAATATTTGGCTAAGTAGCAAGTATTTAAAAAATTTAAATTATCACTTTAACTTTGAATAAAAAATATTTTTATGAATGCGTCTACAGATACTTCTACCATTCACAATCGTAATTTTGTCTTAACCTCATAGAAAATGTTTCGTTTTATGGAAAAAATCTGAATCTTTACACTTGGGGGTGTGCCTGAATATATAGCACCGAATATTGATTCACATGAATTTTACTGCCTCGATTTGACCAAATTTTGGGTTTCCGATTTTAGATTTATTCATGTACCTTGTACTTTAATGTATGTTAGCACATGAGTCCGAAAGTTGTTCGTCATGTAATTATGAGGCCAAAAGTTTCTATGGATGAAAGCCATTATTTGATTTAAAGTAACTTTTGGCATCACAATCTATAGATTTTTTTAATAGTTACTTCACAATTAATAACACAATTATGACTTTTTCTTGTAGGTTTATTTCTTTTATTTGTTATTAAAATAACTGCTATTAAGTTAATTTTAGCTTGGGTTGTAAGTTTGAAAGTTGTTCTCTACGATTCTGTGAGGCCAAAGTCTATAAAAGATGAAAATAATTTTAGGTTAGATAGTTCAACATTCAGCCAATTATTTATTTTTATTTATACTATTTTCGTGTGGTATAGCAAGAATAATGGTCAAAAATCAAGTATTTTAGGATCAAAAAACGGCACGTCAATTTCCAGATAATATTAGCACTAATAAGTCTAAAAATCTAACCAAATATTGACTTTTTTAAAGTGTTATAAGTTTACTGACGAGGTGGCTGAGAAAGGGGATGAACCCTGAAACTGGTATCACCAAAATAGTATAAATAAAAATAAATAATTGGTTGATTGCAGAACTACCTAACCCAACTTTATACCCGCGCTAATATGGAAACAAACATATCAAAATAATTGGCTCATTAATAGCAACTTTGGACCTGTCGTCCTTTATATTTGGCTAAGTAGCAAGTATTTAAAAAATGTAAATTATCACTTTAACTTTGAATAAAAAATATTTTTATGAATGCGTCTACAGATACTTCTACCATTCACAGTCTAATTTTGTTTTAACTTCATACAAAATGTTTCGTATTATGGAAAAAATCTGAATCTTTACACTTGGGGGTGTGCCTGAATATATAGCACCGAATATTGATTCACATGAATTTTACTGCCTCGATTTGACCAAATTTTGGGTTTCCGATTTTAGATTTATTCATGTACCTTGTACTTTAATGTATGTTAGCACATGAGTCCGAAAGTTATTCGTCATGTAATTATGAGGCCAAAAGTTTCTATGGATGAAAGCCATTATTTGATTTAAAGTAACTTTTGGCATCGCAATCTTTAGATTTTTTTAATAGTTACTTCATAATTAATAACACAATTATGACTTTTTCTTGTAGGTTTATTTCTCTTATTTGTTATTAAAATAACTGCTATTATGTTAATTTTAGCTTGGGTTGAAAGTTTGAAAGTTGTTCTCTACGATTCTGTGAGGCCAAAGTCTATAAAAGATGAAAATAATTTTAGGTTAGATAGTTCAACATTCAGCCAATTATTTATTTTTATTTATACTATTTTCGTGTGGTATAGCAAGAATAATGGTCAAAAATCAAGTATTTTAGGATCAAAAAACGGCACGTCAATTTCCAGATAATATTAGCACTAATAAGTCTAAAAATCTAACCAAATATTGACTTTTTTAAAGTGTTATAAGTTTACTGACGAGGTGGCTGAGAAAGGGGATGAACCCTGAAACTGGTATCACCAAAATAGTATAAATAAAAATAAATAATTGGTTGATTGCAGAACTACCTAACCCAACTTTATACCCGCGCTAATATGGAAACACACATATCAAAATAATTAGCTCATTTATAGCAACTTTCGAACTCTCGTATTTTATATTTGTCTAAGTAGCAAGTACTTAAAAAATTTAAATTATCACTTTAACTTTGAATAAAAAAATATTTGTATGAATGCGTCTACAGATTATTCTACCATTCACAGTCTAATTTTATCTTAACTTCATACAAAATGTTTCGTATTATTGAAAAAATCTGAATCTTTACAGGGGGTGTGCCTGAATATATAGCACCGAATATTGATTCACATGAATTTTACTGCCTCGATTTGACCAAATTTTAGGTTTCCGATTTTAGATTTATTCATGTACCTTGTACTTTAATGTATGTTAGCACATGAGTCCGAAAGTTATTCGTCATGTAATTATGAGGCCAAAAGTTTCTATGGATGAAAGCCATTATTTGATTTAAAGTAACTTTTGGCATCACAATCTTTAGATTTTTTTAATAGTTACTTCATAATTAATAACACAATTATGACTTTTTCTTGTAGGTTTATTTCTCTTATTTGTTATTAAAATAACTGCTATTAAGTTAATTTTAGCTTGGGTTGAAAGTTTGAAAGTTGTTCTCTACGATTCTGTGAGGCCAAAGTCTACAAAAGATGAAAATAATTTTAGGTTAGATAGTTCAACATTCAGCCAATTATTTATTTTTATTTATACTATTTTCGTGTGGTATAGCAAGAATAATGGTCAAAAATCAAGTATTTTAGGATCAAAAAACGGCACATCATTTTCCAGATAATATTAACAATAATAAGTCTAAAAATCTAACCAAATATTGACTTTTTTAAAGTGTTATAAGTTTACTGACGAGGTGGCTGAGAAAGGGGATGAACCCTGAAACTGGTATCACCAAAATAGTATAAATAAAAATAAATAATTGGTTGATTGCAGAACTACCTAACCCAACTTTATACCCGCGCTAATATGGAAACACACATATCAAAATAATTAGCTCATTTATAGCAACTTTCGAACTCTCGTATTTTATATTTGTCTAAGTAGCAA